AGTGAGAACATGCAGTGTTTGGCTTTCTGTTCCTGTGTTAGTTTGCTGAGAATGATGGCTTCCAGCTTCATTCATGTCCCTGCAAAGGACATGAACTCATTGTTTTTTATGGTTGCATAGTATTCCATGGTGTATATGTACCACATTTTCTTTATCCAGTCTATCGTTTATGGGGATTTGGGTTGGTTCCAAGTCTTTGCTATTGTTAATAGTGTTGCAATAAACATACAGGTGCATGTGTTCTTATAGTAGAATGATTTATAATCCTTTGGGCATATACCCAGTAATGGGATTGCTGGGTCAAATGATATTTCTGGTTCTAGATCTTTGAGGAATCACCACACTGTCTTACACAGTGGTTGAACTAATTCACACTCCCACCAACAGTGTAAAAGTGTTCCTATTTCTCCACAGCCTCGCCAGCATCTGTTGTTTTCTGACTTTTAAATAACTGCCATTCTAACTGGTGTGAGATGGTATTTCATTGTGGTTTTGATTTGCATTTCGCTAGTAATGGTGAGCTTTTTTTCATATGTTTGTTGAGAGTTTTTAATAACGGAAAAATTGGTTCATCCTATAGAAATTTATTTGACTGCATACGAGTATTTTCACCTCAATTGTTTGCTTTTTAAAATAGTTATTTAAGCTTCAGTTTATTTGGAATTGTATAGTTCTTTGTTACCTTCTCAACTAGTGAGCATCACTTAGGAGAGCATCAGAATTATAAATTGTCTTTAGTTTGCTATAGAAAAAACAATGTCTACCTTAGCATAATTTCTGTGATCCAGATAAAATAGGAATCAATACAAATCTACTAAAAAGGAGAAATATTTGTCTTTTTAACTGGCGTTGCCTGAACAAATTATTTTATTGCTTTGAGAACCACAGGGAAGACTAATTGGTGTTGACATAAAAATAAATATTTACATTGATAAACCTTGATTTATTAGGAGAAAAAATAATATCTTACAGTTTAGAGTCAGAATAAATACAGTCTGGTTTTTGTTTTTGTTTTTGTTTTTTTTGTCTTTGTTACCTTGTTACCAAGGTGTAGGGGATAAATAAGAATTAGCACCTCATCTGAGAATCACCTAATCACCACTCTCCCAGTTGAGAGGGTATGAGAAAGTGATTAAAAGCATCGATATTGAAATCAATCAGATTGTGGCTTGAATTACAATTTATTATCTGTGTGACATTGGGCTAATTGCTGAATCTTGCTCAGACTCAATTTCTGCATTCATGAAATTGGTATTCATTTATTCATTTGTTTATTCAATTATTCAATAAAATAAGCAAAAATACATTTGTCATCACGGAATTTACATCCAATATGGAAATAATAACAGCACCTAGCTTCTACAGTTGTTGTGGGAATTAGCTGATAAATGCAGATAAACTGCTTAGCACAATGCCCAGCACCTAGTACATCTAGTAAATTAGAGAAAGTGACTAGTATAGTTTGACACACATATAGAAGAGGTGCTTGTGTGGGAATAGGTGCTTGTGTGGGAATGGGCCCTGGGGAGATAGTAGATTGGGGCCAGATTTTAGAGGCTGAGGTTTATTCAATACTTACTACTGTCAGTCTGTACTAGGTGCTTTAAGCTTGCAGCAATCCTGTGAGGCAGATATTGGAAATTACCATTTATTCAATCATTCCTTCATTCAATCAAAAAACCTTTATTATAAACACAATCAGAAGTGACAAAGGAGGCTGGGCATGGTCACTCACACCTGTAATCCCAACACTTTGGGAGGCCGAGGTGGGTGGATCACCTGAGGACAGGAGTTCAAGAGCAGCCTACACAACATGACAAAACCCTGTCTCTACTAAAACTATAAAAAATTAGTTGGGTTCAGTGGTACATGCTTGTAATCCCAACTACTTGGGAAGTTGAGGCAGGAGAATCTCTTGAACCCAGGAGGCAAAGGTTGCAGTGAGCCGAGATCATGCCACTGTACTCAAGGGTGGGCAACACAGGGAGAGTCAAAAAAAGAAAAGAAAAAAGAAATGACAAAGGAGACATTACTACCAACCCCATAGAAACACAAAAACCCTCAGAGACTATTACAAACATCTCTAGACACACAAACTAGAAACCTAGGAGAAATGGATAAATTCCTAGAAACATACAGGAATGAACCAGTAAACAAATGAAACCCTGAACAGACTGATAATGTGTTCCAAAATTGAACCAGTAATAAAAGCCTACCAACCAGAAAAAACCTTGAATTAGATGGATTCACAGCCAAATTCTACCAGATGTATAAAGAAGAGCTGGTACCAATTCTACTGAAACTATTCCAAAAAACTGAGAAGAAGGACTCCTTCCTAACTCATTCTATGAGGTCAGTGTCATTCTGTTACAAAAACCTTACAGAGACACACACACACAAAAAAACTTCAGGCATACATCCCTGATGAACATAAATACAAAAATTCTCAACAAAATACTAGCAAACTGAATCTAGCAGTATATCAAAAAGCTAATCCACTATGACCAAGTAGGCTTTATTTCTGGAATGCAAGGTTGGTTCAACGTGTGCACATCAATAAATGTGATTCATCACATCAGCAGAATTAAAAACAAAACCACCAGATCATCTTACAGACACAGAAAAGGCTTCCAATAAAATTGAACATCCCTTCATGTTAAAAAAAAACACCTCTATAAACTAGGCATTGAAGGAACGTACTTCAAAGTAATAAGAGCCATCTGTGACAAACCCACAGCCAACATCATACTAAATGAGCAAAAACTGGAAGTATTCCCCTTGAAAACTAGAACAAGACAGGAATGTCTACTCTCATTACTCCTATTCATCATAGTACTGGAAGTCTCAGCCAAAGCAATCAGACACGAGAAAGAAATAAAAGACATCCAAATAGGAAGAGAGGAAGTCAAACTATTTCTTTTCCCAGATGATACAATTTTATACCTAGAAAATCCCATACTCTCTGCTCCAGAGCTCCTAGGTCTGATAAACAACTTCAGCCAAGTTTCAGGATACAAATTCAATGTACAAAAATCAATAACATTTCTATACACCAGCAATATCCAAACTGAGAGCCAAATCAAGAACACAAGGTCATTAACAATAGCCACACAGAAAATAAAACACCTAGGAATACAGCTGTCTAGGAAGGTAAAAGATCTCTGCAATGTGAATTTCAAAACTCTGCTGAAAAAAATCAGAAACAACAAATACAAATGGAAAAACATTCCATGCTTATGGATTGGAAGAATCAATCATTAAAATGGCTATACTGCTCAAAGCAGTTTACAGATTCAATGCTATTCCTATCAAACTACCAATTACATTTTTCACAGAATTAGAAAAAACTATTTTAAAATTCATATGGAACCAAAATGACCCCAAATAACCAAAGCAATACTAAGCAAAAAGAACAAAGCTGGAGGCATCACACTACCTGACTTCAGTCTATATGACAAGGCTACATAACCAAAACAGCATGGTACTGATACAAAGAGAGACAAATAAACCAATGGAACAGGTTAGAGAACCCAAAATTAAAGCCACACACCTACAACTATCTGATCTTTGACAAAGTTGTCAAGAACAGGCAATGGGGAAAGGACTGTCTATTCAATAAATGGTGCTGGAATAACTGGTTAACCATATGCAGAAGAATGAAACTGGACCCCTTCATTTCACCATATACAAAAATCAACTCAAGATGGATTAAAAAGTTAAATGTAAAACTTAAAACTATAAAACCCCAGAAAAAAACCTAGGAAATACTATTCTGGACATAGATCTTGACAAAGATTTTATGACCAAGACTCCAAAAGCAATTGCAACAGAAAAATTGACAAGTGGGAACTAATTACGGAGCTTCTCCACAGCAAAAGAAACTATCAACAGAGTAAACAGACAATCTACAGGATGGGAGAAAATATTTGCAAACTATGCATCTGACAAAGACCTAATTTGCAGAATCTTTAAGGAACTTAAACAAATTAGCAAGCAAAAAGCAAACAATACCATTAAAAAATGGGCAAAGTACATGAACAGACGCTTCTCAAAAGAAGACATACACATGGCCAGCAAGCATATGAAAAAAAGCTCAGCAACACTAATCATTAGAAATGCAAATCAAAACCACAATGTGATACCATCTCACACCACTCAGAATAGCTCCTATTAAAACATCAAAAAATAATGAGTGCTGATGAGGTTGCAGAGAAAAAGGAACACTTATACACTGCTGGTGGGAATGTAAATTAGTTCAGCCATTAAGGAAAGCAGTTTGGAGATTTCTCAAAGAACTTAGAACTACCATTTGACCCTGCAACCCTATTACTGGGTATATACCCAAAGGAATAGAAATCATTTTACCATAAAGACACATACACATGCATGTTCATCTCAGCACTAGTCACAATAGCAAAGATACAGAATCAACTTAAAGGTCCATAGGTGATGGACTGGATAAAGAAAATGTGGTTCATATACACCATGGAATACGATGCAGCCTTAAAAAAATGAGATTGTGTCGTTTGCAGCAACATGGATGGAGCTGGAATCTATTATCCTAAGCAAATTAACACAGGAACAGAAAACCAAATACCACATGTTCTCACTTTTAAGTAGAAGCTAAGCATTGAGAACACATGGACACAAGAAGGGAACAATAGGCACTAGAGCCTATTTGAGGGTGAAGGGTTGGAGAAAGGTGAAGATCAAAAAACTACTTATCAGGCAGTGTGCTCATTACCTGGGTGATGAAATAACCGGTACAACAAATCCCTGCGACATGCAATTTACCCATGTAACAAACCTGCGTATGTAGCCCCCTGAACCTAAAATAAAAGTTGGAAAGAAAAAATAATAGAGTTAAGTACTAAATACACAATCAACTAAATAGCTAAAAGTTTAATATGATTAACTCGGAGAAATAGATATGCGTATTATATATTTGGGGGATTGATGGATAGAAGGTAACGCTTCTTTTAAAAATAAATCTTAGTTGCCCTTGGTAACGGGGGAGGCAGAAGGAGGAGGAGGAGGAGGAGGAGGAGGGACTCGGCGGGAGGATGGGCTTGCTCTCAATTTTGCGCAAGTTGAAAAGTGCACCAGACCAGAAGGTGAGAATACTTCTCCTGGGCTTGGATAATGCTGGCAAGACCACTCTTCTGAAGCAGCTAGCATCTGAAGATATCAGCCACATCACACCTACACAGGGTTTCAACATCAAAAGTGTACAATCACAAGGTTTTAAACTGAATGTATGGGACATTGGTGGACAGAGGAAAATCAGACCATACTGGAGGAATTATTTTGAAAATACTGATATTCTTATATATGTAATCGACAGTGCAGACAGAAAAAGATTTGAAGAGACGGATCAGGAACTAGCGGAATTATTGGAGGAAGAAAAACTAAGTTGTGTGCCAGTGCTCATCTTTGCTAATAAGCAGGATTTGCTCACAGCAGCTCCTGCCTCTGAAATTGCAGAAGGACTGAACCTGCATACCATCCGCGACCGAGTCTGGCAGATCCAGTCTTGCTCAGCTCTCACAGGAGAGGGCGTTCAGGATGGCATGAACTGGGTCTGCAAAAATGTCAATGCAAAGAAGAAATAAAATCTAGACGAATGGAGACGCAGGAGCTGCGGGAGCCGAATTCGGTCCTGAAAAACACTAATTTGCTGCTTTCTGACCAAATGTTTTTCCGTCTGTGTACAGCTACAGCTGTTTGAAGAGAGGGAACAACACAGTTTAGAAAGAATCCTCATTCCAGCAGTAGATTTAACTGATCTCTGAGGTTCAGTATCATTTTTCAAATAAAGGAATTATGTTATTTCCTCTGCATAAAAAATAAATAAATAAATAAATAAATAAATCTTGAGGTTGCACTGAGCTGAGATGGCGCCACTGCACTCCAACCTCTGTGACAGAGCAAGATCCTGTCTCAATAAAAAACCAACCAAACAAACAAAACAGAAATAAAATAAATCCCGTTGATTATTTGACTTTTTCAAGTTATTTGTCTGTATCACTTGGAAAATAATATAAATTAAATAATATACAGTAATTTTAAAAAACAGCCATTATTGAGGATCTTTTCTATACCAGGCATTGTGCTAGGCACTGGAGATAAGAAGATGGGTAAGACTCAGGGCCTCCCTTGCTGAATCCACTCACGATGACAGTTCAGTGAAGGGCACGCTGTGGTAGAGTAAAGCAGAGTACTTCCCCAGCACCTAACCCAGTCTGAAGGGGTGCAGCTGGATGGTGGAGGCCACTGGAAACATCTCAAGCTTGGGTTACAAAATGACTCCAGTTCTCAAGCAGCCACCCTGCCCCATCCTCAAGTTTTATTTGTGGCTTTCTAGATACTCTCTGGAAAGCTGCGCTATACTTGTGCTCTAGGATAAGAGCTATTTTCAGATATCTTATTTCTGCAATTGGATTTCAAGAGAGAAGCAGAGAATAGGGAAAGAATGGGTTGGGTGTTTCTCTGGATCTGCTTTCTCACCTTGCAGACGGACCAGGGGAGAGTAGCACTTGGGTAGCTGAACTGTGGCTAGGTGCAGGCAAGGAGTGGGCCTATTCACTTCACTGGACTTGAGTTTATCTTTGTAAGTTGGGAAAATAACTTTTCCTTGGAGTCATTTTTCATATATTCAAAGGAATTATAGTAGAAGACTTTAAAGATCTGCTCCTGCTCTGATATCTCATAATTCTCCATGGAGGAGGGTAGGTCACCATATCGTAATGCTTATTTGGGGGTATGTGGAATGCAAGGTTACACTAGCACACACTCAGGTCTGTTTCTCGTTGAGGTTTCCTCTCGAATCTGTATAGAGCTCATCCTGAAGATACAGAAATATTAGTGTTTTGAGGGAATGAGTGAAGAAATTGTCTGAGGAGGAACTTTTATAAATTTAGTGGAAGATATTTAATCATTTGGAAGCAGTAGATTTTAGTTTCTTATTTTTCTGTCTCTGAAATAGTTAAAGGACATAGATAACAGAAAGCCTATTGACTGCCAGATTTTATTTAATTTTCCTACAGAAGGCACAGCAATCTGGAATAATTCCCACCATCCCAACTAGTTTCTCTATTTACTTTGTCTTAAAAATTCTTCTTGGCAACTTTTCTTTTGAAAATTAAAACTTTGATCTTTGGGAAGTAACAGTTCAGAATATTTTTTTTAAAAAAAATGGCATTTGGATACAGTATTAACCAAACTTCCAGTTCAAATCAGAAAATTTCTGAGATCTTTTTTGAGATTTTTTTTCATTAGCTTTTTATTATCTCCCCCTGTGTTTACTTGTGTTTGTTTTTATGAGTAAGGCACGCTTTAATTTGTCTAATAAATATGTTCCTGAAATAGGAGTCAAGCTGCATTTAAAATGTTGTTAGGATTTGTTGTTCAAATGGCCACTACTCTTAATTTATTTTGCAATGTAACTTATCTGGCCCTAATTTCATGCATGCTTGGATTTTGATTTATTTGGTTTGTCTAAAGCAAGGCACATCAGTTAACTATTGGATCTATTCCTGTTTATTACTCTCATAAAATCTAGAGCTATCACTTTAAAATTTTAAAATCCAGAATCTCATGTGATTAGCACTGTTCTCGTTAATAGCAATGTAGTTTTCCTTTATTTATAATATATTTATATCCATGATAGTTTACTATATAATTTCATTATATAAATAAATGGGCTTATTAAGTTTGAGTATTTTCATTTTACTGATTGTATAACTATAAACTGTGACTAGGGATATTGATACATTTGTGGACATTTATGCACTGAAAATTATACAGGACATTGAATGTTGGGCTGAGAAACCTGGACTCTTCCTGCTGTTTGTAAGAGGAAGCATTTTACTCAGTGTGGGGGCAGCGTCCTGGAGGAATGATCAGGAAGGTTCTGAAAAGCCATCTTGATCACATATATGTCTCTTAGCATGAGATTCTCAATATTGTAATTACTGAAGCATTTGCTCTCTGGTATTGACATCTCCTTTACCACTGACTGTGGTTCTGCATCAGCTTGTGACCTGAAAGACCAACCAGTCAGGAGGCAACATTAGGATGTGTATGGATCCATTTAAAGGGGTCATGTCTAGGGCAAGACTAGACTAGTATCAAATATGGGATGCTGGGCAGCCCAAGACAACTTTCAATAGTTTTGCTTAGGGCACACCTATTTTCTCTAAATAGCTATGTTGTACATGCAAAAGAGTTGTAATTAATGTGTTATATTAGATTCGTTTTCATGTGCTTCATTTTTTTTCTTCTTGATTTGGCAGCTTTTCTGTTTTAGACAATTATACATGAAAATGGAAAATCTCAAGTTCCCTTCTATATAATTTGCTTTAGTTCTCTCATGGGGGCAGCCTGGGCATTTTTAGCAACCTGGGAATAGTTCTCCTAAGTTTATTCTGAAGTATGTTTACATACAAGTTTGGCTATAAAAAAGTAGACATGAAATGACTCTAATGTTTTATAATGAAACTCAATTTCAAAAAATATTCATAATGAAAACCATTATTAATTCTACTATTTAGTTGAAATTTTTTTCATTCCCAATGAGTTTCAAAATGGTACCTTTAGCTGCTTCTTTGATACACAATGGTATCAAAGTGGAACTATTTTCAAATTGTCTTCTGTCTTCTAGGTGGATGAAAAGGAGAACTTTGGTTCCCCATCTCTATTTCAATTAGAGTTTTAAAGTCCGCTTTAATTTATTTTTATATCTATTCTCTGATGACACTTTGAAACTCTAAAATAATGATGAAAAAGATAATGGAAACTCTAAGCGATGGGGAACTTTCCTAAGTTATCCAGGGATCAAAAAAATAATGACAGTGATTGCTCATCAACCCTGCCAAGAGGTGCTGGGCTAATTCTAAACCTTTAGTTATGTATCAATAAGCAAGTACATCACTGTGTAAGCTGGGGTTAATGCTTAGCTACTTAGGAAAAAAAGAGTGTGAATTTTATTGTTACTTTATTAAAAGAATAGTATAATTATTTATTCTAATAATAAACATTAACCAGTATTTCTAATACTGAAAATTTTGAAGGTGTTACAATTGGAGTAAAATTTAAAGAAATATAATATAGAATCTTCTCACCAATACTTAATAAACCTGTATCTCCTTGCATCCCTATCTAAATCCAACTCTACTTGATTTGAGTTTTGGATATCCAATTGATATATCAAATTTTAGGCCTCTTTGCAACCTATTTTCTCCACAGCCTTTCCTATTCCAATAAAGGACCACACCATTCCCCCAATTGTTCAACCCTCAAATCTTTTTCTTATTACTCAAATTAATCAATTCATCAGCAAGTCCCTGTTGGCTTGAAATATATCCCAGTCTCTCCTTTCTCTCTGTTTATACAGTTACCATCCTGATCATGATCCAAGCCACCCTCATTTCTTGTCTGGACTACTGGTATAACCTCCTGTTGGGTCCTCCTGATTCCACTAGTGCTCCATAACCATGTATTCTCTTTAGGGTAGCCAGAGAGATACTTTAAAACTGTAGATCAGATCATGGCCCTTTTATGCATTAAAAAACTGCCACAGGCACTTTTGGCACTGTATCCAAATTCTCAGCCCTGGCTTCCAAGGTCCTACATGATCTAGGTCTGTCTTCCTTTGAGACACCTTTCCGTCTTCTTTCCGTCATGTTCAACACTCTCCAGCCATAGGGATTTTTCTGTTCCTGACACATACCAAGCTCATTTCAGTCTTAAGGTTGTTACACGTCTTCATTTCTCTTCTTGGCTCTGGTTTCCAGATCAGCTGCTTCTTGTCACTCAATACCCCTTCCCTGGGAGATCTTTTCCAAGTTAGTCCCTTGACCTTGAAGTTACTCTTTTCTTATAGCAGCACGATTATCTCATTCATTTACTTGTTTATTGCCCATCTCTACCTCCTCCACTGTGATGTGTAAGCTACTAGAGAACAGCAACCTTATCTTCATGGGAACTTCTCATTCCCAATAATTAGCACAGTGCCTGGAATGTAATAGGGGCTCAATAAATTTTGTTCAATTAGTCAATCTATTAATTCAGCATTTTTCTCCTTTTATTTCATAAATTTAAGGAGACAAATCTTTAGTTATTTTTCTCAGTTTCTTTCAGTTTGCTCTTATTATTATATCAATCTCTAACTCTGGAATTATGTGGAGAGGCAGGAAAAAATAGCACTTTCCTCTACTAAATCCACCTCTGAGAGTTGCTCAGTTTAAGGAATTATGTCCTTTCCTTAAGGTTTGATTCTGATGAAATTCACCTTGAAGTTTTAGCATTTCTCTTTTGATAGCCATTCTCTGCACTTCCTTCACTGTGCAGAAACCAAAAGAGGGAGATTAATTAATCCCAGTGTGCGCAAGAATGATATTCCATGATTGTCTCTTTAAGGTTACAAGGGTATAACTAACCCTCTCCGCCTTATCTTATTTCCATTTGTGGATATAGATTTGTCAGTCTGAATTTTCTTTCCACATCCAAAATAAAATATACTTGTTCGACAGTTAAATAAAACTGCACAAACACTTAAAGCAGAGATAAAATGCAAGTAGTTTCACAAAGGGCTTGCGCTATTCTTGCGATGACCTTGTGCTGCTCACAAACATCCCTCCGTCAAGGCCATTTACCAAATCCTTCTACATCCTTGTATGTACTAAGGAGGAAAAAGCATGCTGCAATACTTTGTGTACTAGAGGATTCTATTTATTTTTTAAAATGCATTGAGGCTGGGCACGGTGGCTCATGCCTGTAATTGCAGCACCTTGGGAGGCTGAGGCAGGTAGATCACCTGAGGTTAGGAGTTCGAGAGCAGTCTAGCT